GAAAAGGAGGTCACAGCGAAAGGTAGGGGAGATCCACATGAAGGATGGAGGGAGAGAGGGATAGTATTTGCTTCCTCTCATTACTAAAACTAAGATTACAACTACACTAAAGATAGCATAAGCTACAATTTTACTACATGACAGGAATCTTCTTGCCAACGTGGTAGTAGACACAGGTTTATGCTTATTGACATAAGACACTAGAAGCTGGCCCGACTAGGACAGATTAAGGGGATCTGTAATCTCTAGGTACTTACAAAGTGTAGAAATAGCGCAAAGTTTCAGGATCTCATGAAAAAACAGATAAGAAACAGAAGTCGATGTGGACTCAGTCCTGTGCAAGATAGTAAAAGTGGGGAAAACGTAAAACCATTGAGGTTGAATGCTTGAACATTTGACGACCGTCAAAAGGATACCAGACACAAGAAATGCGTACATTTTGGTGACAATTGGCTTATTAATAGACCCTCGTTTTCCGGCCAGTCTCATGAGAAATGCATCACTAAATCCACGTCGCATAAGTGTAGTGATCTCTACAGACCAGACAATCCTAACAGACTGGCTCTCCCTGCATTAGGATGTGAGATAGCTGACCACATGTTAACCCAGTCCAATCCAATTTAGGATAGCTGGAATAGGGGCTGTAAAGAGATTGAGATTTCTTTCCAGACACTAGACACTCCACAAGGTAACATCTGCCCACAAATCTCAAAGGAGGTATTTTCTCTGGCATTCCAGGGTAGTGAAGTGGACCAGGGTAGATCGCAGGTTTAGAGGATGAAACAATGATACTAGACCTCAGCACACCAGCTGATGAAGGGGAACCTGATCCCAATGAACAGTCTTCCTGAGTTCCTTCTTGATTGACCTAATCTAGGAGTGAAGTAGAAAGAGTAAGCAATTCACTGCGTTCATCTCAAGAGTTGGAACCAGAAAAAGTAAACTGTTTTTGAACGTTCAAGCGTGAGGCAGTGTCGCAAAAAAGTAGAAGATGGTCCAAGTATATCAAGCAACGAAAACCCATTGCTATGATATGTGCCAACATCGGCTTTAGCAACTTGGTGAAACCAAGGGGCAAAACTCAGACCAAAAGGGAGAGAAGTAAACTGGCATATTCCTTTGTTCCATCGGAAAAGCAGAAAGCCCTGACAAATACATGACCTTGAAATCCAGATGAGTGAACCATTCACCTTTTTGTAGAAGGTCCCTTAAACGATGGATACCTACTTCCACATTGAAATGCCTGTAGATCACGTAGGAATTGAGTTAACAAAGAATGATGATTGGGAGGAAGTCCTCAGTCTTCATCAACATCAGAAAGATGAACACGAACGAGGACCACTCCTGTACCCCATTAGAACGTTGACACCGACCACTTCAGTGCGAAAATAATTAATGAATGCTTCCCCTGGGTGGCCGTCATTTCGTATAACAAACACATGGCAGACAAAAGAATGGGGGCCATCTTGTCTCCCGAATGTGGGCAGCGGTACTTGGTCAACAAGTGCCTGAAACTTTTTCGGCTAGGCACTCGCGCGAACGCCGGTAAAACTTAGAAACATAGAAACATAGAAACATAGAAACATAGAATGTGACTGCAGATAAGAACCATTCTGCCCATCTAGTCTGCCCAATTTTCTAAATACTTTCATTAGTCCCTAGCCTTATCTTATAGTTAGGATAGCCTTATGCCTATCCCATGCATGCTTAAACTCCTTTACTGTGTTAACCTCTACCACTTCAGCTGGAAGGCTATTCCATGCATCCACTACCCTCTCAGTAAAGTAATACTTCCTGATATTATTTTTTAAACCTTTGTCCCTCTAATTTAAGACTATGTCCTCTTGTTGTGGTAGTTTTTCTTCTTTTAAATATAGTCTCCTCCTTTACTGTGTTGATTCCTTTATATATTTAAATGTTTCTATCATGTCCCCCCGTCTCGTCTTTCCTCCAAGCTATACATGTTAAGATCCTTTAACCTTTCCTGGTAAGTTTTATCCCGCAATCCATGAACCAGTTTAGTAGCCCTTCTCTGAACCCTCTCTAAAGGTATCAATATCCTTCTGAAGATACGGTCTCCAGTACTGTGTACAATACTCCAAGTGAGGTCTCACCAGTGTTCTGTACAATGGCATGAGCACTTCCCTCTTTCTACTGCTAATACCTCTCCCTATACAACCAAGCATTCTGTTAGCATTTCCTGCTCTATTACATTGTCTGCCTACCTTTAAGTCATCAGAAATAATCACCCCTAAATCCCTTTCCTCATATGTTGAGGTTAGGACTCTATCAAATATTCTGTAATCTGCCCTTGGGTTTTTACGTCCAAGATGCATTATCTTGCACTTATCCACATTAAATGTCAGTTGCCACAATTCTGACCATTTTCTAGTTTACCTAAATCATTTGTCATTTGGCTTATCCCTCCCGGAACATCAACCCTGTTACATATCTTAGTATCATCAGCAAAAAGACATACCTTACCATCAAGACCTTCTGCAATATCACTAATAAAAATATTAAAGAGAATGGGTCCAAGTACAGATCCCTGAGGTACCACACTGGTGACAAGTCCAAGCTTCAAATATATTCCATTAACTACAACCCTCTGTTGCCTGTCACTCAGCCACTGCCTTACCCATTCAACAATATTGGAATCCAAACTTAAAGATTGCAGTTTATTGATAAGCATTCTATGTGCAACGGTGTCAAAAGCCTTACTGAAATCTAGGTAAGCAATGTCTACTGCACCACCCTGATCTATAATTTTAGTTACCCAATCAAAAAAATCAATAAGATTAGTTTGGCATGATCTCCCTGAAGAAAACCCAGGTAGTCTCTGATCTTGAAATCCATTTATTTTTAGATGTTCATCAGTCCTATCCTTTAACATGGTTTCCATCACTTTCCCCACTACTGAAGTAAGGCTTACTGGCCTATAGTTGCCCGACTCCTCACTATTACCTTTCTTGTAAATGGGAACAACATTCACTAACTTCCAATCTTCTGGGACTACTCCCGTTAACAATGATTGGTTAAATAAATCTGTTAATGGTTTTGCTAGTACACCACTCAGCTCTTTTAATAGCTTTGGGTGTATTCCATCAGGTCCCATTGACTTATTTGTCTTTACTTTTGACAGTTGAAATAGAACCTCTTCCTCTGTAAACTCTGTAAACTCACGTGTAATAAATGACTCATTTATCCTTTTTCTCAACTGAGGTCCCTTTCCTTCATTTTCATCTGTAAATACAGAACAAAAATATTAATTGAGGCAGTCAGCTAGACCTTTATTCTCTTCCACATACCTTCCTTCTTTTGTTTTTAATCTAAATAATCCTTGTTTTACTTTTCTTTTCTCATTTATGTATCTAAAAAAGGTTCTATCCCCCTTTTTTACTGACTGTGCTATTTTCTCTTCTGTGTGTGATTTGGAAGCTCTTGCTTAACCTCTTTCTGCATAATCTTATAGATCATTTTGTCTTCCTCACTCTGGGTTTTTTTTTATAATTCCTAAATGCTAACTTTTTGTTTTTAACTATTTTGGCCACATCTGCTGTTGTGGTCGTGACTTAAATATGAATATTAATCTCTTAATACATAATAATTAAGCAATACGGAACAACATTAATATTTTTATAATTCATGGTATTATGGTCGAATATGTGGATAGAAAATACACAAAACGTTGTAATATTAAATGTATATTTAATATAACTATAATAAATAAACAGATGCTAGCGGAATGCCAATTTCAATAATTATACAATACAATACTACACAAAACACTATTGGTTGCTAAATATTATACAAAAGGCTATTACAATTGCTAACTGTTACAATGGATTCATATTACTTACAAGGCCCCAGCCAAAGTCAGAGCTGGTACTACATGATCAGTCAGGTACAGGCAAAAAGAGAGAGAGCTTCTCCTAACATCTGGTTTTTATTCAGTGTAAGTAGGCTGGCCTGTGATGTCACTGCCAGAAGCACAGGTCTTCCTACACACTCCCCCTAGTGGTGCCCCCAAAGCATTACACTAAATATGCTTTCTTTATGATGTAAAGTCATTAATTAATAAATACCATTACAAACCACCCTTTGACTTATGTCATAAAACAAGCATTTATAAAACCAGTAAATTGTGAATCTTCCCCATTTTAACACTACCTGCCCTACAACAAAACCCACCTTTTGAAGAACGATACCCATTTACCCATTAATTATTACCCATTAACATTTTATTGCTTATATAAATGTTCACCATTGAGCACATGCATTACCAGTTGGGAAGTAGGCACATACCCACCCTTATAATAATGAACAACTCAAACCATGTTTTATTAGATTAACCAATGATATTGTGTTCATGTGAGGATGTGTTTTGGAGCTTAATATAGTATTAGACACCACAAACTCATAACACCTATGAATCATGGCACAGACCGACTTGATTTCTGTAGCCTCTGGCCAGGGGCGGACTGAGAACCCTCAGGGCCCCCGGGCAAAATAAATCAAGGGCCCCCTTACAGGCCCCACCCATACTCTGCAGCAAGCGCCACCCTTGTCCCGCCTCGAGCCACACCGTACACAATCTTTAGACACAAGGAACAAAAGGGCAATAAGCCCTTCGAGGCCCCAGTAGAGACTACAATTGAGGGCTAATGGGCCATGGATGGGGGACTTTCTAGCGGAGGCTATCTCAGTGTCCTTTAGAGGGTGTGTTAGAAAGAATCCCCTCCAAGCCCCATTAGAGACTACAATGGAGTCTAAAAGGCTTGGAAGGGGATCTTTCTAACAGAGGCCATCTCAGCGTCCATTAGATATCCCCTGCTGGAAACAGTCGCCTCCAGGCCCCAGTAGAAACTACAATTGAGGGCTAATGGGCCATGGAGGGGATTTCTAGCAGAGGCTAGAGTCTAATGGGGCCTGGAGGGTGGTCTCTCCAGCTCTCTTCCTATTCACAATGTAGCAACACAACATAGCTCGCTGATACCTAGGCCAAGTTGGCTCCTCTTACCTTAATTACTGTTGCTGGCTGGCAGTCTGTGGGCTTGCTGGCTGCGGCTGGCAGGCTGTGGGCTTGCTGGCTACTGCCGGCAGGCTGTGGGCTTGCTGACTGCGGCTGGCAGGCTGTGGGCTTGCTGACTGCGGCTGGCAGGCTATGGCTTGCTGGCTGTAAGCCTGTGGCTTGCTGTAGGCCTGTGGGCTGGCTACTGGCCTGTGGGCTGGCTACTGGCCAGCCTGTGGGTTGGCTGGCTGGCTACTGGGGCACTTGTAGATTATTTAAAGAAATAATCCATGCACAATAACCACTACTGCTCCAGAGTAAGTAGTCAAACCGTTTAAGAACAGTTTGACAACTTGCCTGGGGTCTGCTGGGATATGAGGCTGTAGTAGGGAATAGGAGCAGTGGTGCAATGTGTGTGAAAGGTTCAGTGTGTGTGTGGGGGTGTAGTGTGTGAATGTGTAGGGTGTGTGGGCGGTGTATGTGTGTGGCAATGTTAGTATGGGGGGCTGTGTATGGGGGTCTGTGTGTATATGGGTGGGCAGTGTATGTGTGTGTGTGTGTGTGTGAGGCAATGTGTGTAAATGTGTATGGTGTGTATGGGGGCAGTGTGTGAATGTGTATGGTGTGTGTGTGGGGGCAGTGCGTTTATGGGGCTAGAGTTCACTCTCACCACTGCGACCACCAGGAATCCATGGGGGTTACAGTGTTGAGAGTGAACTCTAGCCCGTAGCTCCAGGGCTAGAGTTGACTCTCGCAAGAGCAGTAACGTTGCCATGGTAACCGCGGCAACGCTCTGTGCTCGCGCAAGAAGGACCCAGAGGAGCTGCAGGGTGAGCTCCCAGGTCCTCTCTTCCTCCCCTGCCCGCACGGTGCCTGCGAACAGGGGAGGGGGGGCATTCTTCCCTCTCTTTCTCCCCCCTCCCCATCTCTCTATTCCCCCTCTTTCTCCC